TTGTAGTATAAAAGAAGAGGAAAGAAACAAAAGAGCAGAAAAAGACAGCAAGAAATGAGTAGAGAAAGATTTATTCAAATCTTAGATGGAGAAAGAAAGAGACTGTATGAGAGAGAGAGAGAGAGAGAGAGAGAGAGAGAGAGAGAGAGAGTCAAAGTAAAACAAAAAGAGATGAAATGAGAAAACGGAGATACATTTTGGAGATAAAACAGACACTGGTAGAAAAACTAATGAAAGAAAGAATAGAAAAAGACAAGAAAGAGAGACATTTGTTTTATAGAGGAAGGTTTGAAAAATAATAATAGAGTTTAGATAAATACAGAGAGAGAGAGAGAGAGAGAGAGAGAGAGAGAGAGAGAGAGAGCTTGATGTTAATCTGTGCCCGAATGGAGTGAATGATCGTATGGAGGCGGGAGATAAATGCCAATAGTCTTCGCCGATAATATCGAATCCACAACCTTTCCTTATTGGCATGATATTACCCAAGATGCACTGCGCGAACAGCACGTGACTTGCTCGCATCGCTTTCTGTCGACGGGGAAAAAAATAAAATAAATCAATGAACGTCTTTCACCTGCTTCAGATTTTGCTAGTCTCAGCAAAACCTAGATATTTGGGATTTATTCTTCGAATTCAGCTCAAAATTCAGTTAAACGTTTGAGTTAATAATCGCACAGCGAAATGAAAGCACAATTTAATAATAATAATAAAAAAAAATAATAATAATAAACTTTCTCTTTATAAGACCCTATTTTCTTTTTTTTCCTTCATCACTTTATATATAATAACAAAAGTCTGATTTCGTATATCTGCCTGTACGCACTCGGTAACTGAAGCGACACACTCTAGACAGCGGTATTGAATTAAGGTTTCCCTAAAATGCGCGAATAAGCAAATCAATGATAATATTAGCCTTTTCCCTACAAGGAAACATTTGGCATTCATTAACCGAGAAGACATTGCTGCTTTTCTTTGAAATTTATAAAGACTTTCTATCAAAATAATTTATTTTAGGAAAACAAGTTTCTCAATTTGTTATCGCTCTTTCTATCACTGATGAGAGTTTCCTTGCTAACCTTTTATTTAAAGCGGTGTGGAATGTCAACATCTTGATTATGTTATTATTTTCTCTTCGGTTTATATGTGCTATTCATTTTAGTTGTTGCTGCTGTTGGTTGTCTTCAAGTGATGTGGTTTCTGTTATTTGGTACAGTTCTTTGTTCGTGATTATGTAGCGCCTATCTATAATGTTCAAAGAACTTTACAGTGACCCTCATTGTCTTCAATGGGCGTTACTCCAAGGCAGCGTACGAAAATTGTAATGCATCATGAACACAATAGCAAGCCTTACAAGTGGGTAAATTCAAGTACAAAAGACTGGCCCGGAAATTCTCGTGATTTAAATCCAGTCCAGAATCTGTGGTCAATCTGCAAGGAAAGACTTCGGGGAATAGACATACGAAGTACTGATATGTGCAGTGGGTCATGTTTCATTGGAAAAATACGAAAAAAAAGTAAATAAAAACGGAATTATTCGTTTTGCACCAAATAATTTGCACAATGGTGTCTGTGTTTAGATTACAATGATAACAGCAAAACTGTGGCCTGAACGTTCCACATTTTCTCAACCTCAACCCGGAAGCGAGTGCGCATTTTAAACTTTTCAATTTCTTTTACCTTTGATAGGAGCAACTAAATACAAAGTCAGACATCACCGTTGTTGAATGAAAAGGCAAATACAAAAAAGAATATGTATATCCTCAGCTATATATATATATATATATATATATATATATATATATATATATATATATATATAGTACAGGTAATAGATCCGTTGGTATATAATCCAGGTAGATCCTAATAATAATATCAAATATTAAAACTGATCCACAAAGGGAGCTCAATGTATTTATTATAACAGAACGTATAAATTACACAGCAAAAAAAAAAAAAAAAATCCTAAATTACCTCATTTGGGTATAAATCTATTTCAGCCAACGCTAAGTACGTTGGTCTTATTCAACCCTGGTGGGTGGACTGTATTTGTATCGGAATCAGAAATTTAGAATTTAACTTAGCAGTCGAGAAACTGATACCAAATCTATCCAAATCAACAGGGGAAAACGTTATGTAAATGATGCAAAAATTCTATTACCATAATGTGGTGTATTTAATAATAAAAGTGAGAAAGTAAATGAAATCAAAGAGACGTGATGCACAAAATACATTATTCCTAAAGAAAGAAATGCTTCACAAGAAAACTTTTTCCACTATGCCATATGTTGTAGATTCCGAGATGAAATTCGGTCGCCAATGAATGACAAACGCAGGAATGAAATATAACAAATAAATATATATGCACAATAATACAATTGGTAATACGGTTAGTAAATCCAGGAACATGGTAGCTAATATATATATATATATATATATATATATATATATATATATATATATATATATATATACAGTCTCGAAGTAGGACTTCCTTAGAGTCGGGCGTGCTTGTAACTATGACTTCTACAAGCGGTTACCTCACACTATTACTCTACCTCCAACTCAATCATAGTCTCAGTCTTAATCTCTGTACTCTGACTGATGTCTAGATATTCAGTCACCCCCCCCACCGGTCACTGGGGCATCATGTGACACAAGGTCGGTTATTTATTGTGGGTTCTCCGAGCACGTGGGCTCGGCCCCAAAAGATGTCCATTGAACCCGTATAAACGGGTTCAGGGCCGGTTTACCTCCTCGAACAAGACTCCGCCCCTTGGCGTAGCCTCGTTCGGGTTCCTACCCGCCCGAAGGCTGAGAGTTCAACCAAACAGTCGGTTCAGAAGTGAACGACTGACTGACTGTCTAACTCTGGGTATTTAACGACAGCAGTACAAATACATCCTGGTCGAGTCTATTTGTATGAAAAAGGGGTGGATCCCGTAACACCATAGATCTCCATAAAATTGTTCTTGATATATAAAAATTGATCGATCATTTTCACATTCACGAATAAATTATTTGAAACAACAGAAACAAGATGAAAGAAGAACTTGTAAAAATATAATAATCGTTGATAATGCGCTGTTTCAAAACGAATACTATTACATGATATAATTGTATTTTTAATAACATAAATGAGACGAAAAGGTCATTAAAATATATTGATGATTGTAAATAACGCGCTTCAAAAATGAAAAATGGGTTCTTGATTGGACCTTCATCGCAATAGGTAGGGAGGAGTAGATACGGTAAACTATTCTGTCTGTCCCAGTTTGTTCACTATCTATCTATCTATCTATCTATCTATCTCATTTTGTTTACTATCTATCTATCTATCTATCTATCTATCTATCTATCTCATTTTGTTTACTATCTATCTATCTATCTCATTTTGTTTACTATCTATCTATCTATCTATCTCATTTTGTTTACAATTTATCTATCTATCTATCTATCTATCTATCATTTTGTTTACTATCTATCTATCTATCTATCTATCATTTTGTTTACTATCTATCTATCTATCTATCTATCTATCTATCTGAGCCTGTTTCTATCTATCTATCTATCTATCTATCTATCTATCTCATTTTGTTTACTATCTATCTATCTATCTATCTATCTCATTTTGTTTTCTTTCTATCTATCTATCATTTTGTTTACTATCTATCTATCTATCTATCTATCTATCTATCTGAGCCTGTTTCTATCTATCTATCTATCTATCTATCTATCTATCTATCTATCTGAGCCTGTTTCTATCTATCTATCTCATTTTGTTTACTATCTATCTATCTATCTATCTATCTCATTTTGTTTTCTATCTATCTATCTATCTATCTATCTATCTATCTATCATTTTGTTTACTATCTATCTATCTATCTGAGCCTGTTTCTATCTATCTATCTATCTATCTATCTATCTATCTATCTATCTATCTGAGCCTGTTTCTATCTATCTATCTATCTATCTATCTATCTATCTATCTATCTATCTATCTGAGCCTGTTTCTATCTATCTATCTATCTATCTATCTATCTATCTATCTATCTATCTATCTGAGCCTGTTTCTATCTATCTATCTATCTATCTATCTATCTATCTATCTATCTATCTATCTATCTATCTGAACCTGTTTCTATCTATCTATCTATCTATCTATCTATCTATCTATCTATCTATCTATCGTTTGTGTCTGTGTGTGGGAAATTAGTTGATAAACCGGTTCAGAGATTTTCTCTGTTGAAAGCCAGTAATGTTCACTTTGCTCTGTGTCGTGCACCTAGCATTTAGATTGTGCAAGTTCAACGACTGACCTGTCTGTGTAAATCGAAGATTGCTGCTTGCCGCGAAGCTGCACGTGCAACTGCAAAGCGGCAAGAAGTTGAACGAACACAAATAAATAAATAAAGCGAAGCTTTAAATAACATTAGCACCAATTGCATTGTACTAGTGTTCTTCGGAAAAAGTCAAAGAAAAGGTCACGACGACTTTTCGACCTCCTTTAATCCGTCAGCCTTGGAACCAGGACTCTGCCGGACCACAGAGACTGCCGGATGACAGAAATCATCCCTAAAAAATACATAGCCTTTTAGGCTCAAGTTGAACAAAGCTTTAAACAGGAAATAAAACAATTATGAAAACTTTCAAACAAGTTTTTTTTTTCAATCTTCTTTGATGTGCCGTGTTCCTTCAAGACGAAGGCGATCATGGCCCTCCACAATTTCTTATCCTGGTAACTCTTGATAAATTCGGTATTTTGCTATCACTTCTTCCCACCATCCATTTACTCAGTCCCATTCTTCTTCTTCTATGTGCCATGACCTTTCGAATGTTCGCGATCATGCGTCTCCACAATTTCCTATCCTTTGTAACTCTTAATTAATCTTGTCTTTTTGTTATCCCTAAACGCTGTTCTGTCATCCATTTACAAACCTCTTCTAATTTATTATCTATGCGCTGTGTCTCTTCAGGGTAATGGCTCTCCACAATTTCCTGT